GTTTTATTTCTGTTTTTTTATTTTTTTTTTTTTTTCAAAAAATTTTTTGTTTAATGTTGTATGCTTATAATTAAATAACAATTTTTTTTGTATTTTTTTTTTTTTATTTTTTTCTGTAGCTGCCGGCTATATGAAAAGCTAACATAACAAAACTTTAATATTACAAATTACAATTTTTTTTAGCTTTATTTTTAATCTGATATTAAAATTTATGACGTGAAGCTGTTCATTGTGAACAAAATCGCCATTATCAATATTTTTTCTCAAAAAAAAAAAAAAAATAAATTAACCAGCAGTTGGTCACGCGCTTAAGCGTGTGCGCTTGTATGCGTGTGTGTGTGTGTGTGTGTGTTGGTTTGCCTCTGGTTGCGAAATTGTTGCCAGATCAAAGAGAGAGAGAGAGAGAGAGAGAGAGTGAGCGAGAGTGCATGCACTTCCGCAGCAGCCATGTGTTTGTTGTTGTTGTTGCTGCTGCTGCTGCTGTGTGTTCTGCTCCATTCTCGCCTGTTGCTGCGCTGCTCCAACGAAGGTCGTTGTCGCCTGCCTCGCTCTCTCTTCTAGCATCTAGCATAATAGATAATTGACCATCGTGTCGCAGCTACTTTTGCTTTCGCTGCGACTCCACCTCCTTCTCCACCTTCCATATACACTTATACATATGTATATATATGATATAGTTGATATATATAATTGGGATATGTCCCAACGTCGGTTTCCGCAGAACTCTCCAAACGTTCGGGTACATTAACCTTGTCTTAACTGGTTGTGTTTGTTTCCTTTAAAACCATCTTTTGCCCCACTGTGACGGGCTGTGTTCAACTTCTGTCTCTCCTTCAACAGGACTTATACCGCCGGCAGCTGGACAATCGGATGCTGCGGTGCATCCCAATGGGCTTCGCAGTAGTCGACCAGTTGATTCTCGGCCTTGTTCAGCTGCTCCTCGCTCTGCTCACCGCTCCAGGTCTTTTGCACCAGGCAGCACGACTCGATGCTCTCCTGGCCCAGAATGCGGCTCAGCTTGGTGGCATCGTCCACTTTAATAACATAGATGTCGTTCTCATAGCAGAACGCCTCCAGCAGCACCTCGTGCATGTGCGTGGCCGAATCGCCAGCCTTGGGCACGGCCATCAGGCAGAAGAGTGAACCCTCCGGCGACTTGGACAGCGTATTGATGGCCGCCGACAGGCCGACAATCACACGAGATTCTGATTGGGCTCGCAGCAGAGCCGTTTTAACGGTACGTCCGATGGGCATGGCGCACTCGGCCAGCTCGAGGCTGTCGTTGTGGTGATAATGATGCATGTTGGCTGATTCCTCAACGACCATATTGGAATTGTTAATCTCTGGGCTTGTCACTTGAGCTGAAGCTTGAGCTATTTTTGAAGCTTCTGTTTGCACTTTGTGTGTTTGCTTGTCGCACACTGTTTCTGTCTGTTTTTGTTGGGGTAGCACTGCTCTGTTGTTGCTTGTTTGATTAACGTTTGTCAGTTTATTGAGTATTAATCTTTTTTTGGGCAATTTGCGCTTTATTAACTTTTGCTTATGAAATTCTTTTCACGTTGACGCTGCGCGCTTTGAAATCCGTTTAACCGTCTTGCTTTGTGCTTGTTTCAATTTTGATTTGCAATTTCACAATGAATGCCAGACACTGGCGAGCGCACGCTTTTATAGCTGCGCTCTCGCCGCCAACGAATTTCATAAGAGCGCATTGATTGCGCTCTTGTTGGAGCTTTTGGCGGGGGTCTGCTCACGCAACAGTTGGCAAAGGCCAGCCGGCGTGAATACCAACCCACACGATCCACCTCTCTCGCGCTCACTCTCACTCTCTCTCTGTGTGTGTGTGTGTGTGTGAGTGTGCATTTTTTCCAAGTATTTTCGCTTAACACCTCCGCTCGCGCTCAAAATCTGAAGCTTCAGCAAGTTTTATTTTGTGCTGCTGCGCTCAGCAAATTTTTATGCCTTTTGGATTTTTGCTGGATGCTCAAAGATTTCCGTTAATTTGGGCAATTAGCAAACTTTGTCTTGCTGCTTCTGCGGCTTTGCCTTGCCCTTTAAGCTTAAGCCTATTTCAATGCCGCTCTTTATGCTCGCTCTGAGCGCATCTTGCGCTCTCACGAAGTGCGTATATACACACATATACATATACATACATGCATATATACTTATATGCAGAAATAACAGTTTATTACTCTTAGCCTGTTGCCTTGATTTGGATGAGTTTTTTCGTTGAATTGGAAAATGAGTTTTTGCGCTTTCCTCAAAAACGGTTTTGTCACCGATTTTTTTTGGAAAATTCAGCACAGCTGTCAAGAGTATATCAATTTATAGCCCACTTTAATGGTTTTCACTAATTTTCACCACTCGCTTTTCACGCGAATCCAACCATGCACTTGGCTATGGGCCAAATGCTCAATGAATGAAAGCCCTGCCAGTCCGTTCGACACGTAAGCTGGACATCTGCCAGCTAAGGAAAATATATGCTCAAATCTGGGATGTAATCTGCGATGAGTTGGTCGCCGGACTTAGTTGCCGATCCAATTATTCATTGGGTTCATCTGCTGCGGCTGGCAATTGTCATTGCCCGAGGTCTTTGATCAATTTGCGGACCGCACCCAATACATATACATACATATACCCAATGCGCCATTTGCCGTTAGGGGCCTTCCAATTGCCGCGCAAAAACCCAAATAACAAATTTCGGTTTGTCAATGCATATTATTGTCTTTTTACACTGATATGCAAGCATATTTTTGTTTTTGATGAGCATAAAACAAAAAGGGTGCTGAGTTATGTTTTTTGTTTTTGTGCAGAACCACAAAACTGGTCTTTAAATAGCCACCTGACCAAAAGCACGTACATAAAAAGCGAAATAATAAAACAACATTAATTTTATGTACATACGAGTTATGCGAATTGATGTACTTAATATGTGTATTTAAATATATCTAAATATATATGTATGTATATATATATTTGTGAAGGGGTTGAATGCACGGCAATGCGCTGGGGCTAAAGCCTTCATTCGTGGGCTTGATTAAGCATAGGCTGTTGCCCTCTAAGAGAATTCACTGAACTCTCTTTGCAGTTATCTAAGTGCAGAACTCTTTAGCAACCCCCCCCCCCCCCCACACACACACACACCATCAATTAATAAAACACGCTAATAGAAAAAAACTTCATTTCAAACTTTAAGCAAATTTCACAGTCAGCCGGAAAATGTTGAGTTTAATGAACTTCTTGGAAAAGATAGAAAACAAAATATTGGCAATTTGGGTTTTCCACCTCTCAGTTGATATTGTTGAATATGCCCGGCCAAAATTAAAAGAAAAAAAAAAAAAAGAAAAACAGTTTGGTAAGCAGGTTAATCACCCAGCGGTGGAGGGTAGAGGAGTGGTCCCAAGGGACTCGCCCCCAAGCACTGACCTATCTGAAGACGAAATATAAATATTGTTAACTTGTTGAAAACACGGCTTGGATATTTCTGCTTGCGTTAACCCAAAATTGCAATGGGCTAACAAAACGTAAACGTAAAATTACAAGAAAACAAAAAAAAAGAAGAAAATCAAGAAAAAGAAAAGAGTGCAATTATTTCTGGTATCAGGCGATCGGATTTGCGCGCCAATTTCGACTCAATAATGGCCAATGAACTTGGCCCTCGGCCACGCCCCGTTGTTGACTAAACTGAAACATAATGACAATAACAAAAGTGAGCCCAATAAAATAACAAATTAGCTGGCCCGGCTCATGCCCCAGTCGCATGTCGGACACTTGCAATCGGGTCGGCCGCTGCGCTTGGTTCTTGCCACATAAACAAGTGGCCACCGCGTGGCAATGCGCCGGGCAGTTGTACATGAGCCGCAAGTGCTGAGTCATGCCGACCAAGTGAAGAGGAATGAGTCAAAAGTTTTGTCACTCGGCGGCCAGACGGTGCTTGGCTGACAGAACAGGTTTGTCGAATTCCCCCAGAGCATGCGCTCGAAAATGACGAGCACAGGTATGAGATACATTCCGCAATGGCAGTGGGTCCAAAGTTCGATCCAATACATGCTGTGCAATGCGTCCGCTTCGAGTGCGTCGCGTTTGGGCTCACGTGCACACTTAAGAGAGAGCTGAGCGCAGAGCGCAGAGCGCAGAGAGCAAAAGCATGGCCAAGCTGCCTGCAATTATGTGTATGCAAGAAATACCATAAATGCACACACACACACACGCACACACATACATGCATAGGGGGAATTTCTGATCTTGGATAAAACCCAAAGCAGAACGGGTAAATGCCTTGTGCAAAGCCCCAATGCCGTGGGAGGCAGCGGCTTTATTATCTCACGCACAGTTTGGTACTTTTTTTTTTGCTGCATCATAAATTCATCTACGCTTGGGTAGAGGCGCTCTGCAATATTTAAATGCACTTTAATTATCTTACTGGCGTCGTATATTTTTATCTGATGCAGTGCATTCCCATTTAAAAATAACCAGTGAAAAAGTGTAATTCCCAAACAAATGCTAGAACAAAATTTAGATATCAGTAATAGATTGAAAAAGAAATTTCGAGAGAGGTATAGGTATATTTATGTACGTCTAGCTAAATGAAATATTTTCCCATAATTATCAGATATATATTTTCTTAAGATTAACTAAATTTAAATTAAAAAGCAATTTAGTTGGCCTAAATAATATTTCCCGGTTAATTTTTAGCCAAATTATTGTAGAAAAAAGTCTTCTATGCAAAATACCCTTAAACAAGGAATTATACAAATAAATTCCCTAGACATATTTTAAATTATAAGTCAAAAAGCCCTCCAATGGATTTTTACTTTTAAAGCAGGTTGGCAGCGCTTTGCGCAGACGAAAGCTCATGCCAGAGCGAAAGCTTTTGAGTTAGAGAACTTGTTTTGCCGGCGATTTGGCAAAGCGCTGCTGTTTCCTCCTCTTCTTCTTCTATGTAAACAAACACAACCAACAGCTGAGTCAATTGTGATTCAACTAGTGTTGATTAAGAACACAATTTGATGCATATTTTTTGCACGCTGCGGAACTGAGTTATAATAGCGCGCAATTAAGTTCATAATAGAGCAATTTAACGCATACTTGATATTTGAATGTGAGCTTTAAAAGCTGCACAAGGTGACCGCTTCAAAGAGTCATTGTACAACACCGTGTTACCGTGTTACCAAAACTGAAAGCTTTGTGATGTAACAGGCAGCGCGCAAAGAGAAAGAAGTCGAAGAAACAGAACCAAAAACAGTCTAAAAATATGACAAACAACAACAACAACAATAACGTAACGAAGTTTAAAAGTTATTGTTGTTGATGAGCGCGGAGCCGAGGGAAACGAAGGGCTCTGAAACTAATTGCTCAGCATGGGAAACCAAGCGCCGAGATAAATACACCACGCGAAACCGGCTCGGGCATTCAGTTTGTCGCTGGCCGACGGAAGTGACGGACCCGCTGAACTGGAGCACGGCTGTAAAACTCAACGTCATCGCGGGGGAAATTCTACGAGAGTCGCGTCGCTTTGAATTGGAATACAATGGAGTACCTGCAGCAGGCCTATGAGAAAATATTCGGAGCCGATGCAACGTTGTCAGACGGCACGCAGGGCACCTACCAGACGTAAGTTCCGGGCAAAATTGGAGTGTTACCTTGGGGATTTTTCAAATCAATAAATGACTAAACAAAGTCTCCTTTAATTCGGTTTCCGCAGTCCACGCAAAGTGGTTTGTTTTGGCAACGTGCTGCTGGATCGCATTGTCAAGCTGGAGGAGCCGGAGCTGCTGCAGCGCTACGAGCTGAAGCTGGGCTCCAAGGGCGAAATGGATCTGCAGCAGCTGAGCAACATGGCCACCGAGGCAGCCGGCGGGTAAGGTGGCAAAAAAAAAAATGTATATATAAGAGCTTATTCTCAAGCAGTTGCTAATTGTTTCAGCTCCGGCTGCCTGAGCAATCCGGGTGGCTCGGCCCTGAACACGGTGCGCATCTTGAAGCAGCTGGGCACGGATGCCCAGTTCTTTGGAGCGATTGGCGCCGATAAGCACGGCGAGCTGCTGCACTCCATATTGCTGGAGCGCGGCATTGAGGCGCGTCTGCAGATCGTCGAGGATGTGCCCACGGGCCAATGTGTGTGCCTCATGCACAACGATAATCCCACGCTGTACGCCAACGTGGGCGCCTCGGCGCACTTCTCGGTCGAGGAGCTGAAACGTGTCGCCAGCCACGATACTCAAAGCTTTCTGCGTCCCATTGAACGCAAGCAAATCCTCTATATTGAGGGCTTCTTTTTGCCACAGCGCAGCGAGGTCGTGGACTATATACAGGTGCATCTGGTACGGGAGCGTCGCTATCTGGCGCTGAATCTCAGCGCTCCCTACATTGTGCGCCAGCACTCGGACAAGATGCTGGAGCTGGCACAGCGTGCGCTGTTAATATTTGGCAATCGCCAGGAGTTCGAGGAGCTGGCCAAGACAGCCGGCTGCCAGAGAGTGGAGCAGCTGGCACAACAGCTGCTGCAGTCTGGCAGCCAGCCCAAGATCATACTCATCACGAACGGCGCGGCGGGCGTGCAGCTGGCCACCAACTATGTGGCTGAGCTCTCGCCGCCGGGCGAGCTCAGATTCGAGGATTACCGGGCACAGCGCGCCGAGCAGCTGGTGGATGCAACGGGCGCCGGCGACGCCTTTGTCGCCGGCTTTCTGCACGCCTGGCTGGAGAAGCGTTCGCTCAGCGAATGCGTGCGCCTGGCCAGCCAAGTGGCCGCCAAGGTGGTCACCCAGGTGGGCTGCAACCTGCCTTAGCCTGGCGCCACACCTAGCCTTTGTCTTTGGTATGCGGATCACACAAAGATTTCGTTGACTCAGCGAGCGCGCACACTGACACCAAAGTAGACCTTTATAACACGAATCTTACACTATATAATATATATATAAACATATATATATATATATATATGTACTTAGTTCCTTATGAGACAATGCACTTAGTGAGTAATCTATTTGCGCTCTGACTGTGGTTAAACAATGAGAAAATATTTACAAATATATTCAATAATAATTGTTTTCATATCGAAAAGTGAGCTGTCGAATTTTTATAAACGAAAATCCAACGCAATGCTCCACAAATACTTTCTATATTTGTGGTATATGTAGATTAAGCTCATGCTTTATATATATATATACTACATATAAATCAGTGTATCTATAGATTCCACAGGGATTAGGGACCACTCGATTCCTTGCTAGAAAAAATATTTACATAAATCTATTTATTAAGGTACCTCAAACAGGTTCTATCTACCTACGCTTTAACAAGGCCAGCTCTTTGTTTATTTTTCTGCAATTTTATATCTTATCTGTAAGAGTACATTTTTTTTAAGTACTTAAAGCAATTAATTTATGACGCCGCCGGATAAACAGGTTTTATAGTTATATACAATATATATATATAAAATATATATCTCCTTATAAAGCTTAAGGGTTTTATAGTTTGTGAAGTGAACTTTTAAGAAGTCAGCGCCATGTTGCTCCCATTGAATCTCTTAAATGTTATTTTGAAAAATTATTTTTCTTGTTTTTAAATCAATATTTGTATTATTCATCTCTATCTTGTTTGTGTACGCATTCTTTTATTATATTTTTAAAGTGCAGTCCAATATCATTAAACATTTATTTGGAATTGGTTTTTATATATTGTTTTTCTGATTTTGCTACACCTCAATTTTTCGCCATGCTAAATCTACAATAAGCTGATTAATCAGCTGATTTCAGGGAAGTCTATATATAAACCTAGCTGACTGATTGCTGAGCAACGCACAGCTCAAGCTGCAAGCTGCAGTTTTTACTTAATCACCCTGGGCAAATCCACCGGGAAGCGTGGAAAATTCACGAAAAACGGCTGCCTAAAACTTTTTCGTTCTTAAGCTCTATTTCAAATATATATCTGTAAACTGCATTACAAAAGTAAAGCCTCAAATAGGAAGAAAAGAAACTTGGGCACAGCTGGGTAATACCCGCTCGTATATACAAGCGTACATGTTGTTTCGTTCTTATAGGAAGTACGTACATTCATTACTTTGGGTTAGTTTTTGCTCGGCACAACAATCACATCGCATTATCTTATGCTGACTTACTCATATGCGGCCCACATGAATAAGTCAGAGTGGAATATGACGGCATACTAGCTCCAAATGTAGCATGTCTAGATATCATCAAAGCAAATGCTGCTTTGTTGTTGTTTTTGCTTATGGGGATGAGGGTTGCTATTAGAACTGGAATTGGAATTGGAATTGGGGCTAGCTCACACGTGTTTGCGAATCGTTAGCAAAACTAAGCCGCATTAGCCACGCTTGTTGAGTCTCTTGTTGGAGTCCAAACAGAAAGAATCTTGCCAACAAGCGGCTGAGAGCAGCTGCTGCAAAAGATGCTGTAAAGCTAGAGATGGGCGCATGTGGCTCGGTAGAATAAGTAATAAATAAAAAATTTTCTCCATACTTAAACTGTAATATTTTAAGACTATGCATATTCGTGTCTGTTTCTGTTTTATCGTGCCCAAGTTGAATTTGATCGTGTTTAAGTCGTGTCTGGTCGCGCCTTAGTCTTGCCTAGTCGCGCGTAAGTCGTGTCTGGTTGTGGCAAACTCGTGTTAAGTCGTGCCTGAGTTCTGTTAAGTCGTGCTTAACTCGTGTGTTCTTCCTATCGTGCACGCACGCACGAAATACAATTTTGCAGCACAACTCGTGTTTAGTTTTTCGTGAGCCTGTCTCTCGAGCGAACACGAACTACGCCCATCTCTAGTTTTGGACTTACACTTAACAATAAACAAATGCCAAATTAGACGCTTAGCAAAGCAATTTCACTTTTCAAGGCAATTCTGCCTCTGTCTCTCTTGAGCTAAGCTACAGTGAGCTGCTTAATTGGCAAAAGCTGCTTAGAAATCGCCCACTATCAATGTGTAAAAGTCAATATTGACACGCCCACACAATATTATACAGCAGGGGGAGTGGGGGCCGACGACTTGTTTAAATCACATCGCCCGCCACCGGAATCTGTTGTTAATTGCTTGATATTAATTTTATGGAAGTTGAGCTGCAAATGGTAGCCGAGGCCAAAGTAAAAGTACACGTAATTAATGTCATCCTGTGGTTTACGGTGCTAACCGGCACTCGACAGGACAAAGGATGTGTGTGTGTGTGTGTTCGGCTTTGATGTGTGCGCCATTGTTCGCAAGGACTTGCTGCACAAAATGTGATAATTAAATGTCGTCCATTTGCAGGGGCTTAGCTTTTAATTTATAATAAATTTGGTACCGAGCTGCTGCTGCGTTCTTCCGAAATGCATTTTTGGACCAGATATTTCCATTTGATTTATGTGCAGCGCCTCGCCTGAGCAGCTGGAACTGACATTGCACATTTGCCAAGGGTCGGGTAGGGTAGGGTGCGGCTGCGGCTGCTGCCTGGCCTAGCCTGGGCTTTGATATTGCCCATGTTTGCACAAAATATTGCGCATACGCCACAGACGCCGGCAAAAACACAATCGCACACACATACACAGGACACTTGGGCAAGGACTAGCCGGCTTGAGCCTTTGGCTTTGTCCCTTGCCTTTTTGCGGCATAACGCGCGGTTAAGTGGCCATAATGTGTGCCTTTATGGGTTCGGTCCTCGGCACGGCTTCTGTTCCTCGGCACAGGTCTTATTTTAATTCCCCGCCGTATTTGCTGAGCTGGCATTGTTGCTGAATTATGTTATGCCAGCCGCTTGTTGATTTTTATATTGTTTTTTTTTGTTTTTTTTTTATCCTCTTCTTTTCTGTTTGCTTTTGCTGTTGTCTCTGGCCGCTGTCCACGGCCCGGTTCCAAATATTTTGCTCCGGCCATGTTTGCTCAGTTGTTTGCGGATAATCCGGTTTTATTGTTTAATAAGTCATGCCCGGGCCCGATTGCTGCTGGCCACGTTATCGCCTCGTTAGCTTTTCGACTGAATGTGCTAACCGAAGCCTGGCACATTTTTGTGCCGAAAAATCGATGCTTAAATTAAATAGGTATTTGCATATTCAAGGCAAATTTAACGTTAATCCTTAAGGTATATAACTTACAGAAATTTACAGAACCTTTTGCCCATTGAATCTGCATGATTATATATTATTATGCCTGGGCATTATAGAGGTATTTTGTATAGAATACGATCCCCGATGGACTTGCAGCTTATATCATTTTTCCCACCCGGGTTTAACTGTACCCAAGTCTCAAGGATGCATTTTCTATTAGCTGCAAATTAATAATATAATTATCCAATTATCTAGCTGTCCAGCCGGCTGCACGGGACATTGGAATTGAATATATTTTGATAGATTTGCCAGCTGCAATCACATTTACAATTGGCCAACTAACTGTCACAAAATGGAAATTCACCCCTTCGCTTTTAGCACTTGCATCACAATCAATTGTCGTGCCGGCAATTTGGCAAATTATAGGCTAAGAGTCACGCCCATTGGCCAAGGACAAGTGCGAGTGCTAACCAGGCGCCAATAAAAGACATTTGCCCAGCACTTTGTGGCCACAGTATCAAGTGGCCCAGGCCAGACTCGAGTGCGCCCAGGCCGGAAAAAGGAGAGAGAGAGAAAGAGATTTTGGAGATGGAGCAAAACGCGAAGGATATTGCTTTGGTGGCCATCAATGTGGAGATTTGGCGTCGTGTGGCAGTGCTCTATCCGACGCCGGGTAACAATTGGCGGAAGTACGCGTTTATGCTGCCCGTTTGCCTGATGAACCTGATGCAGTTCTTCTTTCTGCTGCGCATGTGGGGCGATCTGCCCGCCTTCATACTCAATCTCTTCTTCTTTTCGGCCATATTCAATGCCCTAATGCGCACGCTGCTGGTCATGTTCAAGCGCCTCGAATTCGAGCAGTTCCTCGACGAGCTGGCGACGCTCTATCGCCAGATTGAGGCATCGAGCGATGAGTGCAGCCACCGTTTGCTGGCGGCGGCAGTGCATGAGGCACGTCGTCTGGCCATATTCAATTTGACGGCCTCTTTTCTGGATGTTTCGGGCGCAGTTATCTTTGCCATGTTCCTGGAGCAGCGCAGTAAGCGGATAATGTCTGTTAGATTATAACTTTCCAATTTCATTTGGCTGCAGCGCATCCGTTTGGGGTTTCCTTGCCGGGACTGGATATGCAGCGCACGCCCATCTATCAGATATTCTATGTGCTGCAGGTGCCCACGCCCGTGGTGCTCTCCATGATGTATATGCCCTTCGTGAGCCTGTTCGCCGCCTTTGCGCTTTTCGGCAAGGCCATGCTACAGATACTGGCCCACAAGCTGACCCGCATCGAGCAGCTGCAGGATGAGGAGCAACGCTATCAAATGCTGACTGCCTGCATACGCATTCATATCACTGTGGCCGGGTGCGTATAGCCTTCTGTACCTGTTAGCTGCGACAGGCTCATTGTAAACTCCATTGCAGTTATGTGCGCAAGCTTACAACACTGGTCACCTATATTGTGGGCGTTGAGGCAATTATATTTGGCTCAATTATTTGCTCGCTGCTCTTTTGCCTGAATATTGTTAAGTCCTATTGAGAATATTGTTTACGATCTGTCATAGAACTCTGTCTTATATATAGATCACCTCGCGCACCCAGATGATCTCGATAGTCATGTACATCTTAACTATGCTCTATGTACTCTTCACCTATTACAATCGCGCCAACGATTTGGTCATTGAGGTGCGTGCCGCTTCAGTTGGCAGCTCACATTCAAAGGACCTGCCTTTCTCTCATTTTTTATCCTTTTTTTGCAGTGCTCGCGGGTTACGCAGGCGGCTTACAATGTGCCCTGGATGGAGTGCAGTCTGCGCTTTCGCCAAACCCTTCTGATCTTTCTTATGCAAACGCAGAGGCCTTTGGTGGTGAGTGGGATGGGCTTGCCGTATTGAGAATTCGCTTGCATTTCATTTGGCAGATTCTAATCGTGGCTTTTGTGTGTGCGCTCCATTTCATGTCTCGTTTCTCGTTTCTGGTTTCCCTTTCAGATAAAAGTGGGCAACGTTTATCCCATGACTTTGGCCATGTTTCAGAGTCTGCTGAATGCATCCTATTCGTATTTTACCATGCTGCGTGGCGTCACCAACAAATGAGCTGGAAGCCAAAAACTTTTCGGGCTCCCAATTTGGAGAAGGAGTGGCAGTCGCTGGCAATCTGAGTAATGCAAAAAGTTGTTGTAGCCAGCCATTTGCATATGCTACTCGTTGGCGTAGTTATTTTGAAAGGATTTAATCTGGCTGTTTGTAGTCTGGACTGTAGTGTTGGCATGTAGATATAGTCGTAGTTGTTGCTGTTGTTATTATAGTCAGGCATCTGTGCAAATAGCTTGTTGCACGGGACAGGGCAGAGCTGGTGCGGCGTATTTTTGTTTGCTTTAAATCTCTTGCATGCTTAGAAATGCTTCACTTAGTTGTTTTAAGCGCTGCTCATGGCATATCTAGCTGGGCTATAGGTGCTCTGTTTAGTTTTAAGGCAAGCCCTAAAGTAAATAGCTCAAAGCAGAGTCAAATTTTAATAAATTTCATGCAGCCCAAAATTGTGCAGCAATTATTTGTGCACAAAAGGGCTCAAAGCTGGATTTGAGTTGCTGCTTACAAATATTTTTAATAAATAATATATGACAAAAAAAAATTAATTCAAATTCCTGCTTTATCACAAAATTAATTTGAAAAAGTTTATAAATATATTTGCTCTATTTTTGGCAAAAAGTCAAAATATTATCAACAAATAAATTTCTATCTCCATAAGGGTGCGCTTTGGTATTTAATCTGATTCTATACCAATATCTTAGGCTTAAAATATAAGTTATTAATGATAACAACAATATATAAATATAGATTTGTCTTCTTGTAAATGTATATAGTATTTGTAATGGAGTACTCACCTGTAAATTCCCACGCTTGATTGTTTTATCGTCATCTGTCAGTCGGCAGGAGACGAACTTTTATTTTAACACACTGAAAGAGAAAAGCAGATATGTTTATTAATGAGAATCGTGTAGTAGAGTTATATTTCAGAAATATGTGTTTTGTGCATTTTTAGCTCAGCTCAACAAAATGCATACGAATGTAATAGTTGTGACATCAAAAAATATAGTTTTATTATGATACGTACCAATTTATTCAATGGCCATGTTTAAAATTTGATGCCGTTTCCTCCTATATTTAAATCGTTGCCACGTTCACTGTTCAAGCCGCCGCCTCTTTCCTACTTGAGGCCGCTATTGTCTGCCTCCTTTGGTCAAGCTGCCGCTTCCTCCATAGTTGAGGCCGCCGTCTCCTCTATTGTCCACGTGGCCTTTGGCACGATGAGGCCGCCTCCTCTTAATTTAAAGCTGCCGACTCCTTTCTAGTTGAAACCGCCGTCTCCTCCTTTAGGCAAGCTGCCGCTTCCTCTTTAGTTGAGGCCGCCTCCTCTGTTGCAGAAGCCGCCGTCTCCTCCTGAGTTGAAGCCGCATCCTCCTGAGTTGAGGCCGCCTCCTCCTGAGTTGAAGCAGCCGCCTCCTCCTCTTAAAAAGAAGTGAATTTTATGCGACTTACTTAAATTTATGAGAATCGAGGAGGAGGGCATCAGTCACGAATACGTTTTTTTTAAATTGCAGCGTAGCTATAGTTGTTGTATGCGTACATTTATTTACATATATAAGTGCATATATAATATATACATATATACATGCACACATATGCATACATACATTAATTCTTACATACATTCGTAAAAAATTAAGTTAATAAATATAAACATTTCTACGTAATGAAAACATACAAACACACTAGCATTCATATGCGCTCAAGCATATACACATATATTAATTGACAGAAACATATATACATGCTAACGTGTGTACGTACAATTATATATAAGTATATATATACCTTATATGTTTGTATACTCATATTTATGCTCAAACATACATAGGCACATATAGACACGCATACATATACACAAACATTCATACATACAAACATACATACATACATACATACCTACATACATACATAAATACATACATACATACACACATACATGCATACTTACCTACATATATACATACGTACATACCTACATACGTACATACATATATACATACATAAATACATACAAACACACATACATACATACATACATACATACATACATACATACATACATACATACATACATACATACATACATACATACATACACACATACATACACACATACATACATTCATACCTACATACATACTTAAACACATACATACATACATACATACATACATACATAGATACATATATACATACATACATATATACATACACACATACATACATACACACATTGAAGCAACACTTTGTATGTAGGTGTAGAAGAAAGCAGCAACGCGGCGCTGGTTTCAGGGTGTCTCCGCGTCGGACACTTTCGACTAGCGCACTCTTAATGATTTTTTAATATTTTTGTATTATACGCTAAGTTTTTCATACATTATAATAACAGTTCATAATCAACCGCTGATGCAATGAAACCAATTATAAGCCTGTGTGTTTTTATAATAGTTTTCGGACTGTGCATGGAAATCGGAAATGTATTTAGAAATGATCTAATCATCTATATGATGATTTAAATATATATTTTGTTCATATTTCAGATGTATGCAACGGTCAAGATGACCAACGCCATTTGCGAGTCCAGAAACAGATCCTGGGTGACAATTGAACAGTGTCGCCTGCGTGCGATAAGTCGCAACAAAACGGTGTTAAATATCGAAGTAACATTTCTTCAGCCAGCTTATAAAATACACGTTAACATACAGATGAAGAAGAAGGCCAACGGCTACAAGCCCTGGCTGGCCAACTATACGATTGATGGTTGTGCGTTCATGCGTCGAGTCAATCATCCTGGCGTCAAAATACTCTGGGAAATGATCAAGGACTGCTCGACGGTCAACCATACGTGCCCCTATGTGGTGAGTGGAAGAATATGAATATGATTAACATTTATTTAAATTATTAATAAATATTATTTAATGTAGGGCAAGCAAGCGGTGCGAGATATGTGGGCTGATCTGCGAAACCTAAAGCTGCCTGTGCCGAGCGGCGAGTACTTGATTCTCATAACTTGGATGCTCGACATGAAGCCGCAGTTTGTGACCAATGTTTACTTTACATTAAGTCAGGATATGTTTAAGGATTAAACTGGAGTGTTACTCCGTTGATTGCAACTTGTTTGGGTTGCCAGTTTAACGGATCTGTTATGATCCTTGAGCCACATGTTGCTCTCAAGCTTTACTTACTTCTATTTTGCTTTGTTTTATAATTCTGTTTTCAATTAAAATAACTAAAACTAGCTGTCTGCTGCAGTTTAATTAACATTAGTCGTGTTCTTTATTATGCAAATAAACGCGACAACAACAAGAACAATAGCCCTAAGGCAGCAGCGTTTAATGCCAACAACAATAACAACTTAATTTAAAATTCATTATAACTGACACCAACTAGTTAAACAATTGCCAGGCAGCAGTAAAATGCCCCAACAACAAAGGACAATAACTAAAACAGCAGCAGCTACAACAACAATAAAAACAACAACTGGGCGCGCTTGAATATTGAAATGAGCCTCGGTCGCACTTGAAATACGCAAATAAACTTCAAAGGCCAAACTCCAGATAAAGCTGAAGGACTGCACGCTGTGTACTGGCGGGTGCCGCGGCTGCTGCTGCTGTTGCTGCTGTCTCCTCCAGGCAGCCAGGCCTCCTGGCGAGCGCATAAATAATGGCAATGGCCACGGGCAGCTTGGAAGCCAGGCAGCCAGGCAGTCGGCTATATTGTGTAGGGCTCGCGTGGCGTATACTTAATTTTATTATGAGGTGTCAAGTGGGCCGTCGACTTTGCAGCATTGCGCTGCCTCTTGGCCTTTTGTTTGTGTTATTTATGTTGTTGCCATTTGGCGGCAGTTGAGCGACGCCCCCCACCTACGCCCCACAATTGGGCTTGCCCTGGGCCAGGGGCGTATTCGTTAACCACCTGCGGTTGCAAAATGTAAACTTCCTTTGGGCATTCGCTTTTTACCCAAAGCATATTCTAGTTTTGCTAGCCGATTTTTAAGGCTACCTGTCAAATGACAAAAAAAAAACCTGAATATGCAAATGCCGCAGGAAGCGTAACTGCGACACACAGACAGTTGTTCGGCCTGTGTCCTGGCTGAGTTCTGGCTGAGTCCCGCTCCTGTCTGTGTGTGCTGCATAAAATTAACAAGTTTTGTCGCCCCCAAATGCAGAGACAAGACAGGCGAATGCTCAGTTTGGCTGTGCCCAGCTAGCAGATGCCCTGCACCTGGCGACCTTTTCAAGCTTCTTCTTCTTCCAGGCACAGATTATTACCTGAAGGTGTCCAGAAAATAAAATATGATCAATCTGTTTACTTGAGAAACAACTGACCAAGTTTGGCATTAAGAAACCATCTTTTACGATCGATATTTATCGATAATTAGAAAATGAGAGATGCAATCGAGTGGAGATATCGATAGCTCGAGAATATATGTTTCGTGTTTCAAGTTTGGCGCTCGTTTTCCTTATGAAGCATGTGAGAAGCATGGCCGCAAAACTAATATAACCCTTTTTACCGATTTTCCAAAAGTTCGGTGTATAAAAAACACAAAATGTTTCATTAGAGTCATGGCCATGAGCATGTTATTTACCAACAGCTGGCATTGCCAGCCATAGCCCCTGCCCCTGCCCCTGCTCCTGCCCAAACCACGACCGCACCCGCACCTCCCCCACCCGCTGCCTGGCTTTGTTGTGGCGCCGCGTCAAAGGTGGCGCTGTTTTATAATTGAATTCATATGCCTCAATGGAAGCGGCAAGCGGCAGCCACAACTTTTAGTTGGGGGGTGGCCAAACAAGGACTCGCCATGTGTGTGTGTGTGTGCGTGTGTGCCATTTGGTAGCATTTCATTTAAATGGATTTTCAATTGCGGTTTGAACATTTTGCATAAATTGCTGTAATGAGTTTATTTCGAGGCAGCAAGTGGCATCGTTTGGCTCAGCCCTTAACTCAGCTCGTCTCGCCCGCCCTCGTCTCGTCGCGCCTGCCTCGTTTGCAATTGTCAACTGGCTGTCAGGGCTGACAGTTGTATTGACAGTTTGCTTTTGCTGTTAAAATTAATTGTGGCATTTCGTTTTTAGTCCATGACAACATTTGATGGCATTACAAATGGCATGCTACTGTGGCAATGTTATTTGTAGACAAATGCCTCAAAGTGCGACGCTTGGGCAGAACTTACCCCCTAGACTGCCCCTCCAGCGTCCACCGTCCATTAATTATGCTAGCTTAGAAGCTCACCTTGTAGATTCACAAGGTGACGTGTATGTTAAGGATCTGTATATCCAAGCGGAAAGTATGCCGCTCACCAAGTCCAACGGCGATTAGCTACTCTCAATGAGCTGGATCATTCATAAGAAACCAACCACAATATTAGAAATATTTAATACAATTATGGAATATATTTTCAGATCAATGAATCCAAGTCGGGCCTCTTACGTTTCTGGAGAAAACAACAATGATAAATGTATATTCACTTGTTCAGCAAATTATATTCACAATTTGTATTATCTCATTATAATGAGATAGCTGCTTGGTCGAGGGGGGAACATTAAATGGAATTTGGCTTTATTTGAGGGTATTACCAATTGTCATATTAGTGAAAAAGCTTAAAAAGTAAATTATATAATAATCATGTTGAACTAATTGAAATTTAATTGACCCATGCGAAAATTTACTTCATCATTTTTGGATTAGTTATCTGTATCCAAATAGAAAACTTACAGCCGATACCTATCGTTAATTCCTAAGCAAAAAATGGCCAATCCAATCGAGATTGCCCCTCGCTTAACAGAACTTTGTGATATAATTAACTAAAGTATTTGTCGTTCACTTACATCAGTAAAGTGCATCAATATAATTCGGTGGTTTGAACATTAGTTAAATTGTTCAAGCGAAAAATTAAATCGAAAATCAAAATCAGAATATAATACAGACTGTTTGACAATAAAGTGTTCCATTGTCTTCCATTGTCATGGGCGTAAGGTTGTTCAGTTTCGGGTTGCTGTTAATGTTGCTGTCCTATAATGTGAGTTGATATTTTGGAGCCAAGCTGATCGTTTCAACAGAATCCTCTCCCAGGAAGCTGCTATGTTTAAATTTACGAATGTGGTTTGTGAATCATGGAATAAATCGTGGGTGAACGTCGATGACTGCCGACTGAGGGCTGTAAGTCGCAATAAAACCACATTGACCATGATGGCCACTGTTCTACATCCAGTAAATGAGGTACTGATCGATGCCCAGGTTTTCAAGAGAGCCAACGGATATAAGCCATGGCTCTACAAGGGCCAATTCGATGCCTGTCGATTTATGAAAAAGGCTTATATTCCGCTCGTTATTTTCATTTTTAAGCTAATCAAGGACTACACCAACCTGAATCACCCCTGTCCGTATGTGGTAAATACCTTATTTTATTCGCTGGCCTAAGATTCAAATAACACCACATTGAACACAGGGACAGGTATACATGAAGGATATGTTTGTGCCAATGGATAATATACCGCATACTATGCCAACCGGC